GAAATCGCGTGGCAATACTAGTGTACTACGTTTTAAAACACCTTGAAAGTTTTGATGCTTTGTTCAATTTATTATTTTACAATTGATGGAAGCTTAATATAAAAATAATGTCTTGTTAATATCCTAAAAACTATCAATTTGCTTAACTAAACCATATACTCCCTTAAAGGTATTTTTGTCGAAACAAAGCCAAAGATAAAAGAAACTACCTCGTTTAATAAATCGGACGCGATATCTGCCATTTGTATTCGTAAATGTTCATTATTACTTACTTTTATCGCCGAGCCTCTGCGACCAGATGGTGCGTCCGCCAACGAAATAACGTGTCCTCTAACATATTTGTTTAGGATATGTGGATATTATACTTTCTTTCCTTAATTAACTTCTAATATTGGTACTATTTTACTTATTGTATTCAAGATTTTATCTAATTTGTTTGTCTTGTCCGTACAAATAATAATACAGAGAAAAATAACTTAATAATTAAATAAATTTTAGATCACATGCCATAGTAGTTTGATTTTTGTTAAATATTTGACATTTACTCTTTGCAAATATAAAAAAAAACATTTGTATATTTATTAAAATAACTCAAAAACTACCGGACCGAATTAAAAAATACCTTCACCATTAAAAAGCTACGTTAACACTGAGTAGCATGTAATATAGCATAATGTAGCCAATTTTTTTTTTCATATTCACGGGGACTAAGTCCCGAGCAACAGCTAGCCAGTAATATGTTTTTCGTTTTATCCACTCACACTAAAAAGTCTAAAGGTTATTTTACCTCTTCAAAAAAGATCACATCCATTTTTGTAACTGAATTTTCCTCCTCGTCTTACATCAACTGTGTGAAGTATCCTTTATTTCTAAGAAATTATTTGTATAGTGATCAGATTGTTTACATTTCTATCAACGGCGCACCGATCGACTCTCTGTAATAAATACAGTGGCCAGATGGTTACTTCTATATTGTATTTTAGGATTCGTTCAGTTTAAGATAAACTTCGAAATATCAAACAATCGTAAGATTCTTTCATCAATGTGTTTTCTTAAATCTATTTCAAGATTAAAGTATTGCGACATCATAATCTAAGATTGTAAGATAGGAAATAAAATTATATTTTATCGATATCATTATTTTATTGATCTTAACAATTTTTCTTATGCTTCTTTAGCTATACAGTCGTGTGATCCTTTGGTCACCAGTTCACTTTGCCAACATCGTATTGTTTCTACTTACACCGTATACCTTTTTACATATTCAATCTTCATAGTTATAGACTATAGAACTATAGTTCCCTATGGTCCAACTTCTGACATAAACACACGTCTCGTATCGTTATATTGAAAAATTGTAAGTTTTTTAAATTATTGAATGTTATTTTACAAGCAGTGTGGTTTCCGTACACTTAAACATCTGTAAATTTTTAAAACGAAATATACCTAACTAAGCTTTTAGTAGTACGATCATTATTTACTAAAACAAAAATGTGTTGGTCTAAGTAAAAATAACATAGAAATAGAAAACACTAGGATTGTATGCTCAATACAGAAAGACAAAAGAACATCTAATAGTTTTGGTAACATATCGTTATAAAGAGTTTTAAGGCCATGAATTATGGTGTATTCATAGTTTCAGATTGCTGTAAATGTCTTGAGAATTTATGTTCTCCTAGTAGTTGAAATGCCCGAGTGCTACAAACATGCAAACGTAGGCGGCTGTAAAAGTATCGAAACTAGTTATTTTTAGATACATGTAATTGAATATCATTATAATAAAAAAGTTAGGTTAGAAAAAAAAACACTAAAATAAGAATTCAATAGGAAAGTTATTTAAATAAAGAAGTGTGTGTGTAGTTGATGTACTACTTTTGAAACCAAAATTTGTGTCTAAAGCTAATTAGAGGCCATAGAAACGATTTCATAGACACCAACGATTAAGCAAATTGCTATTCAAAATTGCTGGCCTCGTTCCAAATACAAGCTGCAAACGGAACTGTCATTATGCTATCAAATTCCAATACAAAGCAAATGTGTCTCCAATTATGCGGATGAAACATTTGTTCATATAAAGCTAATATTTATTCTATTATAATATCCTTGATAACTATGTGATACATAATTTAAAACATGCTTGTAAATTTAAATTCTTTTTGTATTTATTGCAAGCATCATTATAGCTTTTACAACAAAAACGACTGTACATTTTGCGTACTCTTTCGACATTTAAGAAACAAGCACAACTAAGAAGAATATAGACAGAACTCCAACACTATTTGACCTCAAAGTAAGTCAAACAAACTTATAATATTGGAAATCACGAGATAAAATGTATCTCAGTTAGTTGACTGCAAATTCAACAGAACGGGTTGTGAAGCTCGTTTCCGAGAACGGAACCGACGACGTTCTAGCTCTTGCTTTAAATCCATTGTATTTGCTTATGCAAATACAACGTCTGCGGCCTTCCGCACGTACACGTAATAATTCTCCTTGTAAATTTGACACAGATTCCCTTCTGACGCAGCATGCATATCGTGGTACAAACTCGCTCATAAATTTGTAATCACGCTCGGCCCTCTATTGTTATTCCACAGACGCGTGGACTTTGTAAGTAATTACAACTTCGTTGGCCTGTTATCTTTGGTAGATATTCAATGAATACCTTAATGTGAACTGAATGTTTAAATTGTTAAATTAAATTGAATTCAGTTCAACCATGATTTAAATAGTTACTTAGCTTGTTTGGTTGAAGTTATAGAAAGTTTCGTCTGTTTTATACTCCTTTCTGACAATTCAATCTTCCTTTTCGGTATCCTTTTTGTACAAGAGAACTTTCGTAGCTTACAACAATGTACGATATTATTGTAAGCAAATAAATGTAGTTAACATTAGCAGAGAAGGTTGTGTGGGTTGGCCTTTATAGCGTGTCTGTCAGCTGATATCGATCTGGCACTACCTTATAGCTGGAAAATGATAGAGCTGTACTTTTGTTGGCGATTTCAGCATTTATTTGCCCGATATTAATCCACTTATAATCAACGAACTTATCTTGATGGAAAGTTGAAAAAGGTAATTGCTTTTCAAACGTTTATATGACAAATAAAATGGGATTTATATCTAAAGAACAGTATTGCGTAAACATTTTTTATTCTTAGTATTTCTTCCTAATGTGCTATTGCATTTAAGTCGTTATAGAAAAATTTTTACTATACTTAGAGCCATTTAGAGGTTCGAACCATTTACCTTTATCGTTAAAAAGATTATCTAAATTCTACTGTAAAGTTATTAAAATAATTCTAAAATTATATTTAAGGATTGTATATAATGATATACGAGTTATATGAATGATGTATCAAGTTTTCTATAACACTATAAAATAACTTTTATAACACTAAAAAGCTAGACAACTAGAAGGCACTGAGAGTTGAACTCTTAAACGTCTTGAAAAGCTCTTGTCTCTTTGTCTTATAAAACATTGTCCAGATGTCTTAAGGCTTTATCTGAAGACAATTTACACGCGAAATATTACAAAAAACACATGTTGGAATTGTCGCATGGTTGTTAAAATTGAAGAACTATTATATAATAATGCATTTTTGCAGCAAAGAATTCGCAAGAATTAATAGCAAAATTGCAAATCTTGTGTAAGGATAAAAGGTAATTAAATCAAATGAGTTTTATCGTTTTTTTTCTAGCTCTGTAACCCTTTGGAGGCCATGACATGATACAATGGTCTTCCAGTGTTCTATGTCATGCTATGTCGGAGTTTTGGTCTCCCACAAATTAGATGATTTATAATATTACTCGCCATAACGCACTGGCTTCATCATGCTACTCAAGTTTTATTGGTCCCATGATTTTAAAAAATTCATAATGAAATATTTAGATCTAAAAGTTTTCAGTGTTTTTATTAGACTTTGTTTTCTGTTTGTAAGTGTTGGCATTTGCTCCGCACAACTTTGCAGAAATACCAGAGCGGCCATTATACCGCGAAGTTTGGAAGCCTCTGGTCTAGCGTTTCGTTTATTATTCTCACTTTTATAAATGTCTGAAAGCTGTCGCATTTCAGGGCGTATTCTTTAACCTTTTGATACAAGGCTTAGTATCGCTTTCAGGGGCTTTATGTAGCTTTGCCCTGGATTTTTCCTTACATTGTGAAGTCTTTTAACGTTGGCTGTTTATTACATATTTTAATTTTAAGTGCTTTCAGTTTTTTGAATAGAAATTTAATTTGCATTTCATTTAGTATCAACTAAAGATTGTCAAACTTTGATTTTGGTCACAGACTACACCTAGAAGTATAACATTGTCTACCCATACTCATCATCAAAATGCTCTTGTCCCTACTGAGGGCACAGCATGTGCTGCTCTGCAGCATCTCCTCTTTTACATTCCATTCATACTTCGGTCTAAATCGGTATATCCATACTATCCACAATACATCGACCTTGTATAAATAACTTTTAGTTCAAAAGTGATTAATTCCCTTCGGTTTTTTTAACCACATAATTAGTTCCTCGTTATGAATACTAAATGTAGTTTCCCTTGTTGTCAGTTGGAGATGTTTGAGCGATGCGGTGGCCGGCAGTGCTGAGGTGGCACGAGTACGCGGCAACCATGCTGCGCCGCGGACAGAGCCGAGCGCCGACGCCCTAGTTACCTGCAAAGCACAGCAACATAGGAGATCTCGCAAGTATGCTTTCCTTGTTTAATCAAATAGATACTGAAAATGGTCTTTCAAATTACTCCAACTCTAATAGTCAATGAATAAATTAGTTTGTTCCTACTATAGATTTGTCATTGCTTTAATTTCTATTCACAGTGATATACAAATTAGCATAACTTCTAAAATATACAGTCAAATTGCAGCCAATAGGTTCAACTAGCTTCAAC